CTCTTCTCCTTCACCGCCTGTGTCGAACAGCCCCAAGCTTCACGCAACCCCTTGTTCCTCCTTTCTTCTTCTTGTAACAAAAACAATAAATCTCAGCAACACAAAAGCACACAGCATCACACATACACGCACAGATTCACAGCATCTCTCAGATTCACACACAGTCACTTTCTCTATGAGTGAGTTATTTTTCAAAAAATGTAATTTTTATTATTATGACCATTGACAGTTTTTTAGGGGTCAGTGACGTCAATCAGTACTAACGTTGTTATTATTTTTGTTAAATGTAGAAAATAATGTGATGATAGTGAGTACAATTTATTGTATGAATTACTTTTAGTGATATGTGATTATTTTTATTAGATAAATATATATTTAACAAAAAATTACGAAGTAAAGAGAAAAGGGTAAAAGTGCACATATTTAGTCATAGACACCTTATTCTTATCAAATAGTTTGATCCAATTCAATACTTAAATTTTAGTACGTATCAAACAATTTTGGATTAAAAAATTCAGCATTCAATCCTTAAAATTCAAAATTCAATTTTCAGCGATTAATTTTTAGTTTGATAAAAGACCACCTTATTTATGATATGAATAAACTATTAGAAAATGGTCATGAGTTCATTTATAACAAAGATCTTCAATAAACAGAAGAAAGAAGTTAAATTATGAATACTCCACGTTTCTAGAAACTATTTTGATTATGCAACAAGCAATGTGGCCCAAAGTAAAGTTTCCTCACTCCTGAGAAAGACAAGTCTGGTTGTATGCTTTCACATTCCAACCATCATTTGGGTTGATCTTTTTTTTTTGGTGGCTAACAAATTAATCTCACAGATTAATTTCAACTGTGCAACTAAAGTATCATATGTGGCACAATAATAAAAAAAGGAAATCTTGTTTAATGCAAGGGAAAACCGTAAATCAGAAATTTTTGAAGGTATGCTATTCTGCCCAAATGTATCTCTTCATGACAGTTAGTACAGAGTAAAATTTGGAGGCATATATGAAAAGTGGTGGAATCATGGTTAGTGTCTGCATAGGGTCCACCATTGATGCAAAGTCCACAAATAACATATAAAGTCCAGAGGGGATGCACCAAATAAAATGAGCTTCATAGAGATAAATTACCTCAAATCCATTGGGAAATGTCCCATTTCGTGCAGAACTTTTCTCCACTGATCCTTCTGGTTGTCTATCTGATGAAACAGGTCCATTACGATTACCAAATTTGGGGATCAAAAAGCCAGGTAAAATGCTCAGAAATATTATACAGTTATATACTACATACACAAAAATGTATAACCAAGAGTCTGCAGTGAATTTTTAGGATAACCAAGAATTTTCGTGGAACCCAAATTATGAGTACTTGTAGCATCCTGCACCTAGATTGAGAGAGGGAAATAACTCACCATTTGACTTAGCTGTCGAAGCAGTTTCAGATGTCTTTACGCAAGACACCAACACAGGATCTCGTTTTGCCAGCAAAGAAACAAGCTTCCCACCAAATGTCAAGCCTTGTATAGGTGACTCACTTGAGTTGGGCCAGGATGCATTAGACATGGGCGCCATGCCTGGTCTCTGAAGCACAGGCCACACATTGGAAGCAGTGCGTGCAGAACCTGAAATAAATGATAGCATATCACTATATCAGCATGAAATTGCAAAAAAACTTTAAAAAAAGTTGCCCTGTTTTTATCTGAGGCAAAAAACAAGGAAAAAAAATTATAAATAAAACATGAAAAAATTGCATAACAGAGATACATATGAGATCACAAACAAGATATCCTTATAATTTTCAAGCTTACAAGCGGATTGTGACCAGCTAACTATAGACTTTAGACAATAATAAGAAAGGTAATAAGAGATGGTTAAAAGGTGGACATAAAAGAGTATCTCACGTCTACCCTTTTCTGGCACTTTATTTCATGAGGAGATGAGGGAGAGACCCGTGGTAGCAACAGAGTGAAAATTGTGCCGGATAGGATCATAAAAGGGTCTCTGTATTTAAATTAGGCACAATCAACCACTTCAATGATGGATAATATTTTCCAGTCTGAAATTTTGGGATCATTCAAAGGAAGAAAGGTAAATAGATTATATTATATTTGGACAGAAGGTATTATACATTAACCCAGGCATCATGAGCACAACATAAACCACAAAAGAGAGTTTTCTAACCATACCCGAGCTTTACGGAAAATGCTATTTGGACTTAATTTAGGGACTTAATTTGAAGACCTAATTCAATACAACCATTGAATTGGTAGTGGACTCCATCTAACATTAAAACTCACAACTAATCCAATAGTTACATGGTTTCCCAGATTAGGTCCTCGAATTAGGTCCCTATAGCATTGCTCGAGCTTTATGTATCATGCATCTTTATAGTGTGAAGACAGAGCAGATCATTAGACTTACTAAAGCACACAAATGTAGACCATTAATGCTTTCTACATCTTCAAAATGTGAGCCAAAGACCAGATTAAGATTCAGTTGTTCCTTTGATAATAATAACTAGGTTTCCCTTTGAACGTCCAAAATCATTTTTCCTTTCTTTTCAATGCTCCATTTCCACTTGAGGCACGATAATAGTATACACAGGATCAACACTGATCATCTATTTTGGAGAAGCTAATGGGAAACGAAGCAAACTGAGTTCTAGTATTTCACCACATAATTATGACGCGACAGAAATTTGAAATACTCGTGTTAATGCCAAGTATACTAGCCAGCTTCTAATGTAACTGATAAGCACTCTTTTCTTTAATCTGAGATTAATATTACAGAAGAACAGGAACTAGAATTTTATAGATTAGATAATCATGAAACATAGAAAGATCTATTGCTTGGAATTCCGAAAACTAGAGAAACTTTTTCTTCAATTAGATCAACTGAGCTCACCAGAACACAACAAACACAGAAATTACCCTAGCGCCCCTAAATTTCAATCGGTCCGCATAGCTTGTCAGAACAATATGTGAAACACACACACAGAGGCGAGAGAGAGAGAGAGATCCAGCCAATTAGACACTAATTGGCAGAACAAACACTTAACATGCATACACAACAAACACATTTCACGGCTTATTGAATCTGAAACATGCAACTAAAATGCAAAGGAGAAAAGCCAAATTACGATCCATTAAAGCGACCTCTAAGATAAGATTCTTATATGTGAAAAGCAACAAACCTCAAAAAATGGAAAGCTACAGGACCTCAAATTAGCTATCGCATCACAAAATACAAATATGCGCATACAGAGAGAGAGAGAGAGAGAGTCTTACAGTGGAAGGAGCGGAGAACAGCGGCGGACTCCATGGAATGAGCAAATCAATTGGAATGGAAAAGATTAAAAAATTGTTCTCTCAGAAACCAAATGAGGAGATAAGAGAGAGGAGAGAGAGGAGAGCGGGAGAGGAAATTATAGGTGAAAGAAAATGAGTTGGTTAAGCACAGTTGTAAGTGGGTGTGGCTTTGAAATGTCCGCCCTCTCTCATCAGTTTCTCCACCCACCGCTACATTTTTTTTGTTCAGTTTGCTAACATGCGCCGATATAAATTGATTTTTGTCAACGTGGTTTCGTCACCTGTGCCTCTCTGCCTGCCTAAGGGTAGGGGTGCAGCTTAGGTTCGACGAACCGATTTTAATCCGAGCCCAATCCAAAAAAATTAAGATTTTAGTAAGAGTTTTTAATACTTAGATTGGACTTGAGTTAAAAAACTTCAACCCAAATTTAATTTGGGTTGGACTCGGGTTAAGGGCTCGTGAACTCAAGTTCAACCCGAACCCGACAAATTAAAAAAAAAAATTATATATATAAAGTATTAACACTGATTTTTCATTTTTGTTTTATCGTTCTCTATCTCTCTCGTTCTCTCAGTGTCTCTCGTTAAAAAATTAGTTAAAGTTATTGATTGTTAATTTAAGTGAATATTATGTAATATATGTATTAGGTTTAAAATAATAAGCCTATTTTGGGCTCTATCCAAATTGAACCCGTAAAGTAACCCGAAATCATCAACCCGAGCCCGAGCTGAATTAAATTCGGACAGTGCTCGGGTTAAGTTCCCCAACTCGATGTAGGGTTAGAGTTAGGGTTAGGGTTGAAAATTATATACCTAGGATTGGGTTAGGGTTGATTGTCTAACTCTCCCAACCCGCCCGAGTCGCACCCCTACCTGAGGGTTGTTCTTCGCTATACGGGGCCGTATATTCTGGTAGACTTATTAAAATCTATCACGATACGATTAATCAGCATGAATTAAGCGGATTTCGGTGAGATTTTAATAGATTTGAATAGTAAACGAGTTGACTTGCTATACATATTTAATAAACAGGTCGTGTTTGAGTGAGACCTGTCAAATCGTTTATCACACATTTATCCATTTTAAAAAAATTAATATAATAATAAATTAATAATTATTTAAAAAAATTAGCTAAAAAAAAAGTCAAGTAGTAGTTCAAAGTCAAAAGGAATGGAGATAGGGAGCACTTCAAAGACAAAGGCAAATCAATGACTTTTGTTTTTGTCCCACATCGATAAATAAGAGGAGATAGGGAGGGCTGACTTGCCTATAAAAGANTTCAATTTTCAGCGATTAATTTTTAGTTTGATAAAAGACCACCTTATTTATGATATGAATAAACTATTAGAAAATGGTCATGAGTTCATTTATAACAAAGATCTTCAATAAACAGAAGAAAGAAGTTAAATTATGAATACTCCACGTTTCTAGAAACTATTTTGATTATGCAACAAGCAATGTGGCCCAAAGTAAAGTTTCCTCACTCCTGAGAAAGACAAGTCTGGTTGTATGCTTTCACATTCCAACCATCATTTGGGTTGATCTTTTTTTTTTGGTGGCTAACAAATTAGTCTCACAGATTAATTTCAACTGTGCAACTAAAGTATCATATGTGGCACAATAATAAAAAAAGGAAATCTTGTTTAATGCAAGGGAAAACCGTAAATCAGAAATTTTTGAAGGTATGCTATTCTGCCCAAATGTATCTCTTCATGACAGTTAGTACAGAGTAAAATTTGGAGGCATATATGAAAAGTGGTGGAATCATGGTTAGTGTCTGCATAGGGTCCACCATTGATGCAAAGTCCACAAATAACATATAAAGTCCAGAGGGGATGCACCAAATAAAATGAGCTTCATAGAGATAAATTACCTCAAATCCATTGGGAAATGTCCCATTTCGTGCAGAACTTTTCTCCACTGATCCTTCTGGTTGTCTATCTGATGAAACAGGTCCATTACGATTACCAAATTTGGGGATCAAAAAGCCAGGTAAAATGCTCAGAAATATTATACAGTTATATACTACATACACAAAAATGTATAACCAAGAGTCTGCAGTGAATTTTTAGGATAACCAAGAATTTTCGTGGAACCCAAATTATGAGTACTTGTAGCATCCTGCACCTAGATTGAGAGAGGGAAATAACTCACCATTTGACTTAGCTGTCGAAGCAGTTTCAGATGTCTTTACGCAAGACACCAACACAGGATCTCGTTTTGCCAGCAAAGAAACAAGCTTCCCACCAAATGTCAAGCCTTGTATAGGTGACTCACTTGAGTTGGGCCAGGATGCATTAGACATGGGCGCCATGCCTGGTCTCTGAAGCACAGGCCACACATTGGAAGCAGTGCGTGCAGAACCTGAAATAAATGATAGCATATCACTATATCAGCATGAAATTGCAAAAAAACTTTAAAAACAGTTGCCCTGTTTTTATCTGAGGCAAAAAACAAGGAAAAAAAATTATAAATAAAACATGAAAAAATTGCATAACAGAGATACATATGGAGATCACAAACAAGATATCCTTATAATTTTCAAGCTTACAAGCGGATTGTGACCAGCTAACTATAGACTTTAGACAATAATAAGAAAGGTAATAAGAGATGGTTAAAAGGTGGACATAAAAGAGTATCTCACGTCTACCCTTTTCTGGCACTTTATTTCATGAGGAGATGAGGGAGAGACCCGTGGTAGCAACAGAGTGAAAATTGTGCCGGATAGGATCATAAAAGGGTCTCTGTATTTAAATTAGGCACAATCAACCACTTCAATGATGGATAATATTTTCCAGTCTGAAATTTTGGGATCANTTTGACTTTTTAAAAAATTTGCATGTGATCTCTATGTTGGCAAGAAAGTTAAGAGATTGGTTAGTTATTGATTTTCAGTACCTATTATGCTCTCATCACATGATTTTTAGTCTAAAATATAATTTTTTTTTATTATTATTGAGGTATCAGTTTTGAAATTCAAATTTGTGAATCAAGCAATTTTGACATTATGATGATCTTTTCATCATTTGTATTTTAGTGTACATATCTAACGATATGTGTTTATGAAAAAGAATGTACATTAATGATTTGTGTTTACGGAGAAAAAGGTACATTAACGATTTGTGTTTTATATGTACGTGTCTGACGTTGTGTGTTTTAATATACATGTTTGAGGATATGTAGTTTTAGTGTACCTACGTGACGATTATTGCGTACCTGTTTTTTTTTATATTTTTTTATTGTGTACCTCTTATTTTTTATTTTTTCATTGCGTACCAATTTTTTGGCTCAAAAGTATATTTATATTTTTTAATTGTGTACCTTTTTTTTAGCACAATTGTGTTACAATTTTTGTTTATGAAAAAAAACGTACATTATGATGACATGTAATTTTTTAGAATAGATGTTTAAATTAAGTAATGACATTGTCTTTATTTTTTACAATTGTAAAGAGCGTCTATTATTTTGACTTTTCAATAAGAACCTANAACATAAACCACAAAAGAGAGTTTTCTAACCATACCCGAGCTTTACGGAAAATGCTATTTGGACTTAATTTAGGGACTTAATTTGAAGACCTAATTCAATACAACCATTGAATTGGTAGTGGACTCCATCTAACATTAAAACTCACAACTAATCCAATAGTTACATGGTTTCCCAGATTAGGTCCTCGAATTAGGTCCCTATAGCATTGCTCGAGCTTTATGTATCATGCATCTTTATAATGTGAAGACAGAGCAGATCATTAGACTTACTAAAGCACACAAATGTAGACCATTAATGCTTTCTACATCTTCAAAATGTGAGCCAAAGACCAGATTAAGATTCAGTTGTTCCTTTGATAATAATAACTAGGTTTCCCTTTGAACGTCCAAAATAATTTTTCCTTTCTTTTCAATGCTCCATTTCCACTTGAGGCACGATAATAGTATACACAGGATCAACACTGATCCTCTATTTTGGAGAAGCTAATGGGAAACGAAGCAAACTGAGTTCTAGTATTTCACCACATAATTATGACGCGACAGAAATTTGAAATACTCGTGTTAATGCCAAGTATACTAGCCAGCTTCTAATGTAACTGATAAGCACTCTTTTCTTTAATCTGAGATTAATATTACAGAAGAACAGGAACTAGAATTTTATAGATTAGATAATCATGAAACATAGAAAGATCTATTGCTTGGAATTCCGAAAACTAGAGAAACTTTTTCTTCAATTAGATCAACTGAGCTCACCAGAACACAACAAACACAGAAATTACCCTAGCGCCCCTAAATTTCAATTGGTCCGCATAGCTTGTCAGAACAATATGTGAAACACACACACAGAGGCGAGAGAGAGAGAGAGAGAGATCCAGCCAATTAGACACTAATTGGCAGAACAAACACTTAACATGCATACACAACAAACACATTTCACGGCTTATTGAATCTGAAACATGCAACTAAAATGCAAAGGAGAAAAGCCAAATTACGATCCATTAAAGCGACCTCTAAGATAAGATTCTTATATGTGAAAAGCAACAAACCTCAAAAAATGGAAAGCTACAGGACCTCAAATTAGCTATCGCATCACAAAATACAAATATGCGCATACAGAGAGAGAGAGAGAGAGAGTCTTACAGTGGAAGGAGCGGAGAACAGCGGCGGACTCCATGGAATGAGCAAATCAATTGGAATGGAAAAGATTAAAAAATTGTTCTCTCAGAAACCAAATGAGAAGATAAGAGAGAGGAGAGAGAGGAGAGCGGGAGAGGAAATTATAGGTGAAAGAAAATGAGTTGGTTAAGCACAGTTGTAAGTGGGTGTGGCTTTGAAATGTCCGCCCTCTCTCATCAGTTTCTCCACCCACCGCTACATTTTTTTTGTTCAGTTTGCTAACATGCGCCGATATAAATTGATTTTTGTCAACGTGGTTTCGTCACCTGTGCCTCTCTGCCTGCCTAAGGGTAGGGGTGCAACTTAGGTTCGACGAACCGATTTTAATTCGAGCCCAATTCAAAAAAATTAAGATTTTGGTAAGAGTTTTTAATACTTAAGTTGGACTTGAGTTAAAAAATTTCAATCCGAATTTAATTTGGGTTGGACTCGGGTTAAGGACTCTTGAACTCAAGTTCAACCCGAACCCGATAAATTAAAAAAAAAAATTATATATATAAAGTATTAACACTGATTTTTCATTTTTGTTTTATCGTTCTCTATCTCTCTCGTTCTCTCTATCTCTCTCGTTCTCTTTGCCTCTCTCGTTCTCTCAGTGTCTCTTGTTAAAAATTTAGTTAAAGTTATTGATTGTTAATTTAAGTGAATATTATGTAATATATGTATTAGGTTTAAAATAATAAGTCTATTTTGGGCTCTATCCGAATTGAACCCGTAAAGTAACCCGAAATCATCAACCCGAGCCCGCGCTGAATTAAATTCGAACAGTGCTCGGGTTAAGTTCCCCAACTCGATGTAGGGTTAGAGTTAGGGTTAGGGTTGAAAATTATATACCTAGGATTGGGTTAGGGTTGATTGTCTAACTCTCCCAACCCGCCCGAGTTGCACCCCTACCTGAGGGTTGTTCTTCGCTACACGGGGCCGTATATTCTGGTAGACTTATTAAAATCTATCACGATACGATTAATCAGCATGAATTAAGCGGATTTCGGTGAGATTTTAATAGATTTGAATAGTAAACGAGTTGACTTGCTATACATATTTAATAAACAGGTCGTGTTTGAGTGAGACCTGTCAAATCGTTTATCACACGTTTATCCATTTTAAAAAAATTAATATAATAATAAATTAATAATTATTTAAAAAAATTAGCTAAAAAAAAAGTCCANCACCTCAATTTCTGCTAATTCTGAAACTAGAAGAAGTTGACTTTATTCTATGGGTTTTTCATACTTTATACTATGAAATTTTTTACATGGTACTCTTGATGTATCAAAAATATTGTAATATAGTCTTTCTATTAATTTCTGTTATTTTTTTGGTCAAAAGTCAATCTATTGACGTTGACGTAAAAACTAACAGAAAGGTAACAGAAGAGTCACGTTATAACACTTTTAATACATTAAAGNAGACAGGTTAAAATACACTTTTAGTCTCTAACGAATGTGTTTATCGTTTATTTGATCCTCAATGTTTTAATTGTGTCTATTTAATCTCTAAAATTTCTCTACGTAGTCCAATCTCAAATGTCTGTAAAAAAATTGATAATGTCTCTGGTCACGTATCAATCACGCGAGAACAAATAGACATAAGATTAGGAATCATGTGATTGATGCATAATTAGATCTGTCAAAAATATATTTTACGCTATAAGTTATATCTATTCATAGGAAATTTCTAAACTTATTGTCCAAATGAGTCAAATCCGAGTAAGTTGAGTCAACTTAGTAAAAATTAAGTTCGAACACAATCAGTCGAACTTGAGCATACACAAGCACAATAATTTAATTGGAGGATCGATAATTGAGTCGAGTTTTGAGAATTCGTATTGAGTCTGTTGAACTCATTTTTGTAAACGAGTTAAAAAAATTATTTAAATTCAACTTGTTTAAAAAATTAGTCAAGCCCAAAACAAGTCGAACCCGAATAGCTCAACTATTTTATATATAAACGAGCCAAATTTGTGAGTTCGAGCCTAGTATTCTAGACTCATTATTTAAGCGAGTTTAAAAAATTATTCACGTTCGGCTCGTTTAAAATACGAACCAAGCTCGACTTGAATCTTATTCAAATCGAACTGAGTAACTCAGTTCAATTATCAGCATTTATCTTACTGTGTTGATTTCCTTAGTATTTGATGNAACCTGTTCGTTGAGAAGGAAGAGAAATATGAAAAATGGCTTAATGAAGACCACTCTAATTATAAAATTCTGGCTACTAAACCATACGAGCAGCTTGAGTTGGATTCGGTTTATCTTGTTTAACGTTCAAATTAGACAGGTTAAAATACACTTTTAGTCTCTAACGAATGTGTTTATCGTTTATTTGATCTCTCATTGTTTTAATTGTGTCTATTTAATCTCTAAGATTTCTCTACGTAGTCCAATCTCAAATGTCCGTAAAAAAATTGATAATGCCTTTGGTCACGTATCAATCACGCGAGAACAAATAGACATAAGATTAGGAATCATGTGATTGACGCATAATTAGAATTGTCAAAATTTTTTTACGAACGTTTAGAGTTAGACCACTTAGATGTAAATTAAGAACCTTATAAACCAAATAGGCATAATTGGAACATTAAGAATTAAATAGACACTAAACACATATTTTTTAACCTAAAAATATATTTTACGCTATAAGTTATATCTATTCATGGGAAATTTCTAAACTTATTGTCCAAACGAGTCAAATCCGAGTAAGTTGAGTCAACTTAGTAAAAATTAAGTTCGAACACAATCAGTCGAACTTGAGCATACACAAGCACAATAATTTAATTGGAGGATCGATAATTGAGTCGAGTTTTGAGAATTCGTATTGAGTCTGTTGAACTCATTTTTGTAAACGAGTTAAAAAAATTATTTAAATTCAACTTGTTTAAAAAATTAGTCAAGCCCAAAACAAGTCGAACCCGAATAGCTCAACTATTTTATATATAAACGAGCCAAATTTGTGAGTTCGAGCCTAGTATTCTAGACTCATTATTTAAGCGAGTTTAAAAAATTATTCACGTTCGGCTCGTTTAAAATACGAACCAAGCTCGACTTGAATCTTATTCAAATCGAACTGAGTAACTCAGTTCAATTATCAGCATTTATCTTACTGTGTTGATTTCCTTAGTATTTGATGAAAAAAATCATATTGAGCTGTTCTTGACCCATGTAAACTCAAATTCTGTGGAGAAAAAATCATTGTACTGTACCTTACGTTATCTGTATTCACAATCACTTCAATCCACTTCTCTCGAATCATCACCTGGTAATTTAGTTGGATCACACCCTCAACTTGGTGGTAGTTAAGAGAGAAGAGCAAACGCTCATCAGATAAAGGACTGCTCGAGTTTTCAGTCTCCATGGCAATCACAGGACAGTACAACTGCACTTTCCACAACCCAAACGTCGACCTTTCATAAGAAAACAGCGGCGATGGCGTCCTGAGGGTTTGATTTGCAGCTTGTAGCTCAACAATCCAATTAGTAATCGCAAGGTTTATTGAACGCATCCATTGCTCTTCTCTATTGGATCCTATAAGCCTCGTCAGAAGCTTCGATACTTCTCGTGATCTCGGACACGATAGTTGATTCTTCAGTGTAATAAGGCACGCAGATCGCAGATCTGCAGGAGCTTCGTAGATGCAAATGACGAAAGTGAGAGTGAGAAATGAGAAATTAAAGACATCCTTCAAGTTGGTAACTGAATCTATTTTGGATTGTTTGTGCAATGAGGCGTTCTTGTTTGGGGAGTAATTGAGGACATCTTCAATGAAGTTGATCAAGAGATTGGCAATGGTTTCTTCATCTAATAACTTTGTGGATTTAGGGTTGGGTTTGAATGATTTTGATGTCCAGAGAGAGATTGACAGATTGTAATCTGCAAAAATAGAGAAGGAGAGGGAGGATTGAAGGTTTTTGGATATGGAGAGTTTGAGGGATGGGTGACATGAACTTGAAGAACATAAGAATATGGAAAGAGAATCAGTTTTCCATTGAGAGATTGATGGAAGGTTTTGAATCCAAGCCCATATATCAGGAAAGGAACAAGCAGCCATGAGAATTGCCTGAGATATATGGAGTTCAAAGATGGCATTCTTATTTATAGACCATGTCACATAGGAAAATATAGCTAGATTTTGATTGGGATAAGTCAAGAATAAAGCTTGTTGTTGGTAGATTGTACAAGCAAAGACATCTTCAATTTTGAGAAAGAAAGCAACCGCATGGGTGTTTTTTGGGGTGAAGAAAATGCCTAGATTCTTAGTGGGGTCCTCCTATGTTAATGGACCCTCCTAAAATCCTTCTGCAGTTGACACTTGGAAAAAGGCGGCTAATTAGAACATGAACCTACTTCTGTTTTTTGGGTTCTTATTAAGTTAATATTATCTAAATTCAATTACTATGTCCATAATACTTCCATCACTCTAAAAGTTTAAAAGTGGTTGTATGTCTCTAGTCGTAGTCGTATCCCGTGTGCAAAGATATTGTCGTGTTATAGCATCTAATTTAATGGCAAAAAAACTCTATTTCTCAAACTATACATCTATATGTATGTGTATGCTCATACGATGTTCTCCTACATAAATAAATTTTCATGCCGTGTTTATTGATCAAGTACATCTAAAATAATTCTCATGATACAATCGCAACGGATTGTGCACAAATCAAATATAAACCATTTTAACCCTATTCTGGTTGCAAAAACAAGTGGAAATTTGCTTGTAGTGGCAAAACAATGCCTGTTAATAGCATAAAGTTAAGTATAGGATGTTTTAAGTTAGGTCATGCATGTCTGAGATGCTTAAAGAAGTAAAGTTTCACTATGAGATGTAGACCTTATATAGTGGACAACTTGATGCTGGAGTCTAAAATACTTGGTGCATTCTCAACTCAATCCCATTTTATATACCATCGACCTTAATCTTAAGGTTGGCATGGCCTTCCTGTTTCAAATCCTGGAACCATCTGTACTTACTATTCTTGGTTGCCAACAATTGAAGGAAACCTTAACTTCAATCTTAACGGTTGAGGAAATCATATAACAGTTTGGGTCTGATGCTTATGATTGATTGAAGAGTAATGTTATGGAAACATAATTTGAATACTTAATGATTGTAACTATTAGATTGTCAGTGGTCTCATCATTAAATTATCAGTGGGTCCCAATACTATCAATTCAATTATCACAATGCATTAAGTTTTCAAATTATGTTCCAATAGCATTAGCGTTGATTGAAATCGTACACAAAAAATTGACGAGAAAGCTATCATACCCAANTAAAGTTAATTGCGGGTCACCAAATCCTACGACTGATGAGAAGGTCTTATTGAGTCAAAAGAAGCGAGGAATCATTTAGATATAATTGCCACTTGAAATCATATTGGTTGATCCGTAGTTGTGGAGAGAAATTATACTAGAGAAGATCCAAATTGATGAGAACTTGAACAGGGAAAAGATTTCACATGGATCTGTTCATCTCTTCATTAAAAAGCCAACCAATTTTTATTTTTATTTTTGTTGAAAAATGTTATAATCGAACACACAGAGGGAACTTAGCCTGCCCCGAACCTCTTGGTTGACGGAATGAGAATCAACAATGTCCAATTAGGATAGACTCGGTTAGTTAAAATAGCTAACCTATTGTATGCATAAATGTTATGCTACGTAGTAGTCTCCTACTATATTAAACAAAATAATCTCAAACACGCAGCCAATGGCTCAAGTGAAAATAAAGACGATCTGTAAATTTAGACGTTTTGAGTTCAAATTTTGATAATTCTTTGGGGTTAGACTATAAGGAATTTATTTTTCATAAATACTCTAGTCCCAGAATGAATGATCTATTTTTGACTGAATTGAGGAGGAAATTAAGTGAGATAGACATAATCTGAACACTCTTAACCAGGGTCGGCCCAACCCTTAGGTAACTTTAGAGGGCCCCCACAATATTTATCCCTTTAGTATAGTATGCCTAATTTTTATTTTATATTTTATATTTTAGATATGACTAAAATTTTTAAGGCACAAATTTTATTAGTTCAAATCAGTATAAAATTTTATTAAGTTCAAAATTATTCTCTACTTGGTTAAGCCAAAATTTTAGAGGTTTTCATAAAATTTACCACTTTAGTATAATAGTCATTTTTATTTTTATTTTTATTTTTGGTATTTTAGATATGAATCAAATTTTTAGGACTCAAATTTTAATAGTTCAAATCAATATCTAATTTTTTTGAGTCCAAAATTACTCCTTCATGCGAACTTGGATTTAAATTTTTTTAAATATTTTAGGTGCGTTCATAGTTGTATTTCACTCACTCACATAGAAAATTTATATTTATTATTTCTTATGATGAAAATCTATTTAGCTCCTTTTTTGTCTTAATATAAATTATTTTCAGTCCAAATAATTTATTCTTAAATTTTCTATGTTATTAAAGTTTTGTACTTCACGCGTGCACATTACTCATGGGTAAAAAATGATTCTTTGTTATCTTAAAATTATTTCTTACTCACATATTCTATTATTAAATTACTTGTTGAAAATTTAAATTGATAAAATTTTATTTATAATCAACTAAGAGGGAATGAATTAACAATATTATCTATTAAAAAAAATTATTGTCAAAATTTGAGTATAAAAACTTAATCAATATTTTAAATTTTTAAAAATAAAAAATAATTTTTTAAACCATAAAAAATTATAATAATTAAAAATAAAATATATCAATAGACAAAATATTAATAAGGTCTCATATAAAAATTTTGCCTAGGGCCCGCTTGAACTTGGGCCGGCCGACCCCTATCCGTTAAATCAATAAAAAAAAAATTATGTGCGAACATGTCCTAAGCAGAATTTTCCAAATAAGGAATTGCCCAACATAGTAGAGTAAGGGATAGAACCTATTTTTTCAATGAAGAAAAATAGGAATAGGGCTTCCCATATGCTAAGACTAATAGCTGTTCATGTAGTCAGTATAAGGGCCACGGCAACGTTGGAATAATCAGTGGATTGTGGCTCTGAAAACTGGTTAGATTTCTATTACTTTGTCAATTTATTAATGACTAGTTGCAATCCCTATATTACTATTGACTCGGGTATCAATCATGTGATAATTTTATGTAGGCACCAATGAACGGTTCATCCATTGGATAAGAACTCAAATTTTTTTGTTTAATACTTAATTTCAAATCTCCATACTTACAGCAATTCGTTGGGAGCTAAAGCTGCTCTTCGGTGTGTGCTGAGCACATGGTAAGACTTTAATTTCATTCCTGACGTAGGTGCAAAGAAATTCTTTGTAAATAATTGAGTGGTGTTGATAGACAATACTCCTTGACGAATATGTAAAGTAATCTATCTACGTATTTATTTCGAGTATAAAAATAATAATTTTACCTTGACAAAATTAGCAAGAACNAATATTTTAAATTTTTAAAAATAAAAAATAATTTTTTAAACCATAAAAAATTATAATGATTAAAAATAAAAATATATTAATAAAAAAAATATTAATAAGGTCTCATATAAAAATTTTGCCTAGGGCCCGCTTGAACTTGGGCCGGCCGACCCCTATCCGTTAAATCAATAAAAAAAAAATTATGTGCGAACATGTCCTAAGCAGAATTTTCCAAATAAGGAATTGCCCAACATAGTAGAGTAAGGGATAGAACCTATTTTTTCAATGAAGAAAAATAGGAATAGGGCTTCCCATATGCTAAGACTAATAGCTGTTCATGTACTCAGTATAAGGGCCACGGCAACGTTGGAATAATCAGTGGATTGTGGCTCTGAAAACTGGTTAGATTTCTATTACTATGTCAATTTATTAATGACTAGTTGCAATCCCTATATTACTATTGACTCGGGTATCAATCATGTGATAATTTTATGTTGGCACTAATGAACGGTTCATCCATTGGATAAGAACTCAAATTTTTTTGATTAATACTTAATCTCAAGTCTCCATACTTACAGCAATTCGGTGTGTGCTGAGCACATGGTAAGACTTTAATTTCATTCCTGACGTAGGCGCAAAGAAATTCTTTGTAAATAATTGAATAGTGTTGATGGACAATACTCCTTGACGAATATGTAAAGTAATCTATCTACGTATCTATTTCGAGTATAAAAATAATAATTTTACCTTGACAAAATTAGCAAGAACGTTATGTGTAGGAGGAAATGTGTATAAGATCATCAACGTGGTCGATGGACATGTAAAAATCGTATAAAATAAGATGATGATACAAACTATGCAAGAATTCAATTAAGATCTTCTTCAATACACAGCAAAATATTTTTTTGAAGTTTTCAGATTGAATAAAGTTTTGGGGATGTTTTGAAAATTTTCATATCTATTGGGGTTTATTTGCTATTTTTAAAAATTTTAAACCTGGGACCCACTTTCGAACGGCGTTACACTCTTTTTGTCCGAACCTTTCTCTCTCCTCCTATTGCGTCGCATCGCATCCAGCAAAATCTCTTTCATTTCATTCCTCTTCCGAACCTTCCCAAATGGCTTCACCACCGACGCTTCCAATCTCCAGCCCTCAATCCACCACCACTACCGTCGATTCCCAACCGCCCATCGCCACCCCGGCCTTTCGCGCGTTCCTCTCGCGCCTCTCCGCCTCCCTCCGCTACGGCTTCTCTCAACGCCGCCCGTGGTCGGAACTCCTCGACCGGTCCTCCTTTTCCCGACCCGACTCTCTCTCCGACGCCGCCTCGCGCGTCCGCAAGAACCTATCCTACTTTCGCGTCAACTACATTTCCCTACTTGCTCTCGTACTCGCCTTTTCTCTCCTCTCACACCCTTTCTCTCTCCTCGTTCTATTATCCCTACTCGCCTCCTGGCTGTTTCTCTACATCTTCAGACCATCCGACCAGCCTTTGGTGCTCTTTGGCCGTACTTTCTCTGACCGCGAAACCCTAGGCGGCTTGGTGGTGTCAACGATAGTAGTGGTGTTCCTCACCTCCGTTGGATCGGTTCTCATCTCGGCTCTTTTGGTTGGATTGGCGATCGTTTGTGTCCATGGCGCATTTAGGGTTCCGGAGGATCTATTTCTTGACGATCAAGAGCCGGTTAACGTGGGATTTCTCTCCTTCATTGGCAGCGCCGCCTCGTCCGCCGCCGCTGCCCCGGCCATTGCCACGCGTGTTTGATTGAGCCGTGGAGCTGGATTTAATCTGATATAATTCAATGCTATGAGGTTTGTTAGGGTTTTAAAAGTCCTGATTTCAATTGAATCTAATTGCAATTTTTTCGTTAGAAAAGATTATATTACATGTATGGCTTCGGATTTGGATAAATAGTTTAGGAATTTTGTAGCTATAGATTGGATTGGAAATCAACCCTACCACCCTGCAACTACTTTAGATTTGTGTTTGATTTCTTGTTGATCTAATTATNGCAATTTTTATGAACATGTGTCTTGAAATTAGAACCTTACAGGAGAGCATCGTCACTAATGTTAACAAAGTGGAAAGTACTTTTGTTAAGGAGACTGTATCATATGACAAAGTGCCTTGATTGNCAATTCCGAAGACCCAATTTTTTGTAGTGTTTGTTTTTTCATGAAAAGGTTGGCATTCAATCTCTGGTTAGATAACTTGTCCACCTATGATTGGTATGTGATTTTTTTCTTAACTTATTAATAAAATTTTTAATTCTTATCGANTCATGAAAAGGTTGGCATTCAATCTCTGGTTAGATAACTTGTCCACCTATGATTGGTTTGTGATTTTTCTTAACTTATTAATAAAATTTTTAATTCTTATCGGAAAAAACATAGTTATTATTGCATGTGCCATGGATATATGGTCTTCACTCCTGATGAGCTGTTATCATGTACATGTATTTTGAGTGTATAAACTAACCTGGCACAATTTTATTTTGAACATCTTGCACAGCCCTTTTGTTGTATGCTCTCTCTCTCTCTCTCTCTGCTCTTTTTCTTTTTTTTTTTTTTGGGTTTTGGGGCTGGNTTTTGAGTGTATAAACTAACCTGGCACAATTTTATTTTGAACATCTTGCACAGCCCTTTTGTTGTATGCTCTCTCTCTCTCTGCTCTTTTTCTTTTTTTTTTTTGGGTTTTGGGGCTGGGTGTGTGTGTGTGTGTGTTTTTGGGATGCAGCTGGTGGCTTCAAGTTTGAAGACCGGCTGGTGTGAGTCATGGTTCATATTTTGATACTTGTAGATTGTTTTTCTCTTGTCCTGGAATGTAAATTCGAGTTCCTCGGGATCTTCAGGAAGAGATGGAAGCTTTTCGGGCTCTTTTTCGGCCACCAATGCCTTGCCGAATTGCTTGTTCTTCAGATATACATGTACCCGGTTCAAAACAAGAAAAAAAAAATGCACACTGATTGTCAGTCTGGATGCTTTGAATAGGTCAGCCACTAATGCCAGAGCAATCGTTCAAGTATTCTTGTGAATTTGTTTGCTGATTTGAGCAGGTTTGTTTGATTACATGACTTGTCTCTCCATTTTGTCCTTATAAGCTTCAGCCGCTGACCTCCCACATAGTCAATACCAATTCGATCCGAGCTCTCTTACAGGGTAACACTGACTTCTCATCTCAACCTCTTTTAGTATTAGAATGGCCCTCCGTAATTTGGGCATTTTGGGTTTACACAATTCGAAGGCCTTCACATCAGTTGCAATTCACAATGAGATGACCTCACATAAGGAAAGCTGGGAAGTATTCCCAAGCCGACCTATGATCAATATTTCACCTTTTTTCCCTGTACAAATAAGATTTCACTTGAAAGTCCGAGATTCAGACCTCAACATAGGTGAAGTGTGTATGGTAACCACTAACCAAACAAGCCCTTGGATGCGATTGCAAGACAACAACAAAATCCTCGATGCAATTTTTATGAACATGTGTCTTGAAATTAGAACCTTACAGGAGAGCATCGTCACTAATGTTAACAAACTGGAAAGTACTTTTGTTAAGGAGACTGTATCATATGACAAAGTGCCTTGATTGTCAACTATTGTACATCAATGAAATACAGAGGACGGGAAAAAGGCAAAAACTAAAGAAAAGGGCAATGCACGAGGTACCGTTGAGAAGAATCAGGTGTATGCACCCTTATCCTATATGCTGAAAAAATAGTTCCGTTGAACAGTAATGTCCAGATTATAATGACATTGCTATACTGCGCCAAAGCCTGCCCTCGGGGAAAAAAAGTGAAAACAAATATTCTAAGGTAGTACTTCAGCTACTATCTTTTGCATATCCACTTGTTTCTTCTGCAACCATTTCCCATACATTGGCCATCTTCTCTGCATATCCCGCCTGTAAAAATGCATGTATCACTCCTCTAATTTTCAGAAAAATGGCTTCACAAAATGCAACTGCCAAGGAAACTATGTAAAAGAAAGGCCACAAGGAATATAAAGATCAAGCAAGCATTAAATAACAACTAATAGCTAATCGTGACAAAATCAGTTTACATATTTGCAACGGGCTAAAAGAAAAAGAAATTGCTACTATGACTAAATCCAAAATTCTGTCCAATTGTGTTTGTCAACAATATCATTTTTCTCCTTTTTGGGTATAGCAAACTCACAGGTGACCCCGTTGTACGCAAAGAAAAAAAAATCCATTCACAGGTGAAAGTTAGTTGATGCTAGCTTTAGTAATTCAAGGAGCAGTATTCTCAGCAAAATTATACCAAAGGTCATTCAAAGTCAAGTCAACCAAATTCAAATTCTGAAGGATACACCACGTCCCCGAACTGTTATAACCAAATTTATTGGCACGGACAGAACCAAGATTGTATACTAAAGGGGGGCAATTGGCCAAATATATGGAGGGTAGTCTGGAATCAACTTTCAGGTTTTATTTTCAATAAAATTAATATGAAGGTAACTTGTCAAATTGGATGTAAAAAAAATTCACAGAGAAAACATAGATTTCTACAAAGAAAATGAGCGAGAGCGCTTTCTTTGTGGAAGACCCAAATTAAACAATAGAAAATAGATATCCCCAAGACTTATTTTGTTCTATATTAGAATGTTTGATTACCCGTTTATTCCATGCCCAGTTTCTTGATGGCTTGCTTGATCGAGATTTACAACAAGATTTTCATTGAGGAACTTAAGCAATAACCATATTAAAGCAAAAGAATTGAATAGCCATCAGGTTGTCAAACATAGGTTGCCAGTTTGTAACATTCAACATAGGGACAGAAAGGACATTTGCCTATCTATTTGCTGATCAGAAACATAAACTACAGACCTTCGGGAAAAATAATTATCTTTAAATCATTGAGTCCCCATGTCTTGGTGTAAGAAAACCTATGCAACTTCTTTTCTGTTATCTGCAATTACTGCCTGACCTTTATAACAAGGCCAAAACAGGGTTGGATATGGGCATGTTACCAGGTTATAGAAGTATTTTGTCAAATATCCAATCCAAAAAATAGTAGAAAAGAAAATTTTCTTTGAATATACAGTCGAACCATTTGCCGAAAAAGCAGACAGTGACCAAGAGAGAGTGGACACAACCTAGTCAAGGTCTCAAGCTAATTAGATCTTCCAGTTCTAGATCTAAGATAAAGTGAAATCCAATAAGAAACTACTGAAAATCAAGCTTGATTCTTGGCAAACTTAAGTTGAAAAAAAAAAAAAAGAAATTATTAAGAACAGAAGGGAAAAAAGAATACCTGATTAACAACAAATCCTTTCAACATGCTCAAGAAGTCATCATGCCTCTCTTTTTCTAGTCTTTCAAGCTCGTTCTTATTATTTTCCTGCATGTTATTCACCAATAACCATACTTAACCCCTGCCTCTCCCGATATACTTGGGAAAGAGTATTAAACTTGCAAATTATTCAAAGTCCAAATAAATTCAAAAACAAAATAATGAGGCAGAAGCAGATTTCATCCTTTCACTGAAGTTGAGAAGTTTAGTCATTGTATGTTCCTACATTCAACCTTGGAAATTAGGGGAAGGGGCATATCAAAGGGCAGAACAATGTAATAACATTGGCATCAATCGACCTATTCAAATAAAAAGCAGAATACTGTTTTCTACAAGTTAGGTTGAATTAAGGCATGTCAGAGAAAGACACCTCCAAACTGAAGTCAGATTCAAGCCTGAGTAAAGGTCCATCAGAAAAAATTCCAGTTACTACCCACAAAAGAGAAAAAGGGTAGAGTACAATACAAGAAAACTTTGCCATCATAACAAGAGATCTCGACAGTAAGATGAGTTACTGTGAAGAAATTGCATGTAAATAAATTGCGACTTACAAGTCACTTCACAGAGCCATACCCTATGTGGTCACCACTCCTCATTAGCCACTTAATTAACAATGAACATCCCAAAAAACACATTATATGAATCGATGACATACCTAGGACTGGTACACGAAACGAGTTGCTTGAATTTGCCTCGGGCTCGACTCATTTTTAGCTCGTTCAAGCTCGTTTGATTTTAAATATGAACACAAATTTGGGCTCGTTTAGCCTGAGCTACTGGGGTGGCTCGTTTAGGCTCAAATATTTCTGGTCATTCTTCAATTGTACTTTTCAGTCATCTAATTCCAACGGCTACAATGCTTTTCTAGCTAACCTACCTAGAGACAATCAAATCTCGTCTCCCTCTCGAACCTCCTCCTCTCTCTCTCTCTCTAACGCTATGCCTCTCTCTCTTCTCTCAGCCTCTCGCGCTCGAACTCTTCCACTTTCTCCTCTTAGTCCCTCTGCCTCTCAAACTCTGTGAATCTCTCTCTCTCTCTCTCAGCCTCTCTCTGTCTCTATCTCAAACTATTTGCCTCCCTCTCACTCACTGTCTCTCTTTAGTTCTCCTCTAAAACCCAGGTATGCCTCGCCTTTTCATGCACACACGCGTCCAAGAACATGCAGATCGAGAACTCTTTGAGAAAACCAGATCTCGAGCATGGTGATGGCACCACTAGCTACCGAAGGACAATAACATGAGGAAATCATGTATCGAATCAGATCTCATACACACACTTTCTCTCTCTCTCTCACTCTGGCTCTAATTTGTACTAGATTTCTGATTAAAAAAGGAGACTAGTCGAGCCTAGCCAAGCCGAGCCTAAGCAAAATCCAAAGCTTGATTAACGAGCTCNTGCAGATCGAGAACTCTTTGAGAAAACCAGATCTCGAGCATGGTGATGGCACCACTAGCTACCGAAGGACAATAACATGAGGAAATCATGTATCGAATCAGATCTCATACACACACTTTCTCTCTCTCTCTCACTCTGGCTCTAATTTGTACTAGATTTCTGATTAAAAAACGAGACTAGTCGAGCCTAGCCAAGCCGAGCCTAAGCAAAATCCAAAGCTTGATTAACGAGCTCAAGCCGAATCTGAACACCACAACATAAACTCGAGCCGAGCCTGAGCATAGCCAAGCTCGGGAGGGTCGGCTTGATTCTCACCCCTAGACATACCACATGGGACCTATGGAACCATGACTGGTACCATCCCAAGTTTATAATTGTTGTTTTATTTGTTCTGTGAGAATTGAACCTTCAATGATTTAGGGGGTTCGAGAATATCAATTTTGGCAATACTAAGTGTGTCTAGAGAGGTAGAGAGTCGCTCAAAGAATGAAAATTAAAAATCAAAACCACATTATTACTTGTTTCTTTCGTCTCAAATGAACATCTCCTCACTCTCCCAGCCTAAAATTCTATGGTGCTAGAAGTCTAAATTACTTCTTCTTTGTCAATAATGCTCAAGTCTATTCTAGTATAGTGTAGAGACCAATTATTTACATACCACAGATTGGCTTTATTATTTTTTTGATGGCACAAAGATTGGCTTTATTTCAAACGTAGTTCTAAGGAATAACCTAATTATCCTAATATAGACAGAGCCCTGCTCCCTAGACCTTGCAAACATAAAATAAGACTCTTTAGTTTAAGCACAACAAAGAGTGTTAGGCGTATTTCAGCAAAGCCAAATAAATTGTAACAGAGGATTAAGGAGGTTGCCAAAAACCTTAATTGCCATGAGGCATGGAAACAATTATCAATGGCAGATTTATAATGTCATACTTTCTATTAATCAAACTCTCCCTTCTCCATCACATTAAAAGGTTTATGGAACCAAGGTCATTTCTAGCTCTTTATCAACCTAGGCAGAGAAAGACATACAAGATGTAAAAGGTATGGTTTCCAGAGTCAATGTTTATCCATTCGGGAAGAACAGCATGACAAGTGCAATCCTTTTAAGCTCAAATTTTCTTTCCCTGAAAAAGGCCAACTTGAAAACTGAGTAAGTAGTAAGTCCAATGAGCTGATGATTAGACTTACATTCTGTGCTTACAAACATTTAGGGACCGTACAGGTCAAACCTAGAAAAACAAATGCTTTGACACATATAGAGATATGGGATATGAAAACGACCATAAGACCCAGATGAAAGCAGCAGAAGGAATAGAATCTAGTACAAGACCTACAGACTCTTCAAAAAGGGTTAACTGATACTCTAAATGATGAAGACAAGAGAAGATAACCAAAGGCAAGTAGCACATATCTAACTAAAATTACATGCCAAAGCAAAGCCAGTGCAGGTTCTAACATTCATGGGGAAAAAGCAGCACACCAATAAAGTTAAATAGATGCACTGCAGTGTAGGTGAGAAAATGTATATTATGCCCTCCATGTCGTTGATTTTTGTTGTACTCTANTAAAGTTAAATAGATGCACTGCAGTGTAGGTGAGAAAATGTATATTATGCCCTCCATATCGTTGATTTTTGTTGTACNCCAAAGGCAAGTAGCACATATCTAACTAAAATTACATGCCAAAGCAAAGCCAGTGCAGGTTCTAACATTCATGGGGAAAAAGCAGCACACCAATAAAGTTAAATAGATGCACTGCAGTGTAGGTGAGAAAATGTATATTATGCCCTCCATGTCGTTGATTTTTGTTGTACTCTATGTGAAGAACAACTTGTGCTTTCATTCTAACATACACAATGACACATAATACTTTTCAGTTTTTACCACCAACAAACGGAAACAAAACTATATAGAATTTCTACAAGACTCTAAAATTTGGCCAACCAAAGTGTCTCACATATTTTTAATTTCCAAAAGTACGGGAATTCATCTCAGCGGGCAATATTATCCAATTTGGTGAGGCCAATATGGCATTTCTCAACATGACTGCTCAAGTAGACAGATGATGTTTTGTGATTATATTGCCTGCATAGGAAATGAAATGCATAACATAAATTAAGAACTAAAGATTAAATGGTTCAATATTATAGTATACTAGTCCAATTTGGGTGGTGTTTCCATACTTGCTAAGTCGCATGTATTATAGGTAATCTTTCATGCTTTTTTTGTTTGTCCATGTCAGAAAGAAACATTTTTCCCTTTCAATCAATAAGCTTTTCTTAAGTTTAAGAAACATATGCAAGAACAATTGATCAATATCAACTCTTGGCTCATGCCATAAATTGCAGACCATCACCCATCTGAGAAACTAAAATTTTATATGGAATGTTGCTATTGATCAACTAAATGAACATTCAAAAGGAAAGACGTAGTACACTAGATGGCCACATTTTCCAGCAATCTATTAAATACCAAGACTAAAGATGTCACCTTGATCCGTTCATATTCTCGACCTGCACAACTTTTAGCATCTTCAGTAACTCTCACAGTCTCTTTCAACTCTTCTATCTTTCGAATTCTAGACCTGTCTCCTCCAAATATTTTAGAGGGAGTAGTTTCAAGCTTTTCAAGCTTTGAATTCAAGGAAGAAAGTTCGGAAGAAATAGTCTGTACAGTCAACAGAGCACTTGTTCGGTCTGAAAAAGCATTGTTAACAGCCAACATAATCCCAAGATACTCATGGAGCTTATCCTGCATCACATAAAACACCTCAATCAGACAAAATCAACATAGGCTCTATTCCACGACTAAACAATTCCATAGTAGGGACCATCAAAATACTTCTTGAGAAATAGTTTGAGCGATTCTAACAACTATGGAACAACAAAGATGAGCATATTAAATTTCAAAGTTGATGAAACCCAAAGTTCTAGACCTTACCAAATGTTTGACTGTTTGTGCATTTAACTCCCGAAACAATCTGCTTGCTTTCACAGCAGCAGTTGCCATGTTTTTCATGTCTGCAGCCCTCACTCTCTGAGAGTTGTGGACCGCTTCCTCTGTCTCAAACTTGGTTAGTTTGACAAAAGACAAACCCAATTGCCCCAGTGTCTCTCCAATATCTTGCTGCGCTTTGACAAGTGATTCAGCCTGCATAATCAATAACAAATCAGATGCTCTGAGTTGCAAACAACTGCATTTGTCAATATACTTACAACTAATATTTCTAAAGTATGGGATCAAATAGTTATAGGTTTTGTAGGATATAGTTTCATTTTTCNATCAATAACAAATCAGATGCTCTGAGTTGCAAACAACTGCATTTGTCAATATACTTATAACTAATATTTCTAAAGTATGGGATCAAATAGTTATAGGTTTTGTAGGATATAGTTTCATTTTTAACAGTAAATAGGGGCATAGCCAAGCCAGGCTCATTGAGCAAGTCTGGATTTCAAACATAATCAAATTGAGTTTTAGCCATAGCAAGTCTGGATTTCAAACATAATCATATTGAGTGTTAGCCATCCAATTTGAAATAAACATGTTCAAGCTAAATCAATTTGATTTCAGTCCAGCTGGATTACTGTCCTAAGTGATCTTGCTCACTAATCTAACCCGACATACTAACTTGTTTCCGGTACAAACAGGCAATTGATAAACAACCAATGCAATTTAGCAAAGGCAACATGGTTCAGACATTTGATCAGTTCTCTATTATATCTCTGTGCCTATATTTACTAACTAATTTCTCTAAAAGTTTTCTCTATGCAAATTCCCCATTCCTATACTTATACCAAGGCTTCATAGTCCCCACATTAACTTTACAAGAAATTGAAAATGTACATGTAACTGTGATTGTGTGAAATTAATTTTTTGGTACGTAAAAAACTGAGGACAGTGACCAACTAAGACAGACAAGCTAACCTGCTGAGACACATTGCTGAGATGCTGCTCAAACTCCAACAACTTCTCTTTCCTCTCCAAAAACTCCTTATCTTCCTCCACCACCGGCGGCTTTGTTCCGCCCCAATCATTCGTCACCGACTGCTTCAACTCCTTGAATATCCTCAGCAAATCCCTCCCTCCTTTTGCCGGCTGCAGCACCTCATTCATGTCCACCACCGCCACGCTCTCTCCTCCCAACAACTGCCTCGGCAACTTCACCGCTCCATCCAACATCCTCGAAGCCACATCCGTACTCCGAGCCAACGGCAAATTACCCTGAACAGTCAAGAACACTCTCAACTCATCACTCCTCCTAATCACCGGATGAGCACAGAGTCTCCTCAAATATTTCTCCAATTGCACTCTCCTCTGCTCCACAAATTCATTTTTCTGCATCACTTGAGACTCCACTACATTTTTATCAGGCCTCATCGGAATAAAATATCCTCTATACGATTCCGATAAACGGTCCGATAAGATCACAACTTCTTTGAATCGTCTCCGAACACTAAATTCAGATCCGTTAAATTCAGGAAAACTAGTCCGCGTAGTAATTAAATAAGTAATGTAAGTACTTCCACCTGGAACAAGCGAATTTGCTAGCTCCTGTTCTCTTTGCGGATCGGAGACCGAAATTTTTATATATTCCGATGACGGCGATGAAGATGACGACCGTGGAGAGGTTTCCGAGCTATCGTGGCCGTTAATTTTGGTGATGTGGTCGTTATCGAAGGATTTGAAGACGGCGTCGGCATAGGAAGGTGGCTCGAGGATAGAATTGAAAACGGAGGAGGAGGAGGAGAAGCTAGGGTTTTGGCTGGGTGTTTCGGGGCGTATGAGTGACGATGGCGAGGAGAGTGGAGGATTATCGTCGGTGGATAATTCGGCGAACCGTAGAGATGAGGATAGGGGATCTGAGAACGATTTTGAACCGTTGGATGAGTCGGTGAGGACTAGGGATTCCATTTCTTCTCTGGATGCATAGAGATGGGCTTCTTCGTAGCTTTGGCTCTCAAATCCCATCATTTTTACTCAATTTTCTCGGAAAATTAGAAGAAATTAGAAGGGAAAAAGAGGGGATTTTCAGAGTGGAATTGATAGGATGGACATTGTGAACAGTTGAATTGATTGGATGGACATTGTGAACAGTTGAATTGGAGACTGAGGTTGGGGTGGTCAAGCTAACTTATACCCGTGGGTGATTTTTTCTTGAAGCGATAGGAGAAAAGAGGGAGGAGAGAGAAAATGGTGGAGGTGAAGTGTCGTGAGATCGAGGACTGGTAGATGGTGTGGAACACAAGGCTTGGGGCACGTGTGAGGGGCAATACTGTAGCGGTAAAAATGATAAAAGGCTATGTTGCAAGGGTAAAACTGGTTTTTCATACGGAGACGGATTAACCAATGGTTCGTGAAACAGATTACATACAGAGAATAAATCTTGGGCTAGGAAGAAGGCCCATTATGAAAAGGGTTGGAGTCCCTAATCATCACGGACCCTATTTTACTTTAATGGGCAACATGTCTGAAGGATGGGCCTACATGAATCCAATTAATTAATTTTGATGTTTTCCTTTTAGTGGGCTTTCTTGCCAAACTGATCGGCCTACATTCACCCCAAAACTCCTGAACGAATGAATGGCCTACAAATTGGCTGCTGACGTTGATATCGTTTTAACTTACAAAGTTTACTATGTATTATGCTCAGATCAAAAAAAATCTATGTATTATGCTCTTGAATTAGAACATCTCTAACCATACTCAAATTTGAGTAAAAAGTTTAATTTGGTATAGAGTACTCCAATGAGTAAACTCAAATATCTACTCAAATCTTTTACAAAATTTCCTTATTGTCCCAAAAACTCTTTTTTTTTTTTAATTCAAACTATGGNATCTACTCAAATCTTTTACAAAATTTCCTTATTGTCCCAAAAACTCTTTTTTTTTTTAATTCAAACTATGGTATTTTATAAAATAAATGAAACTTTCATATCGCTCCACAAATAGGTAATTCAAAAAAAAATAAAAAAATGAATGTGTATACTACAATACATGGAAATAAAGAAACCACCACATAATTCTAAAATTATTCTAATCCCTTATCATTTTTTATAAATCAAGATAAAAAATATATATAACTATTTCGACGTGGGCATGGTACGAAGAACACAAATACATACGTTTTTTAAAAAATAAAAGATTGAAGAAATAAAATGACTAATTTTTTAAATTTATAAGTAGTGAAGGCTTAAAATTTTAGAAAAAATTGGTAGTCTGAAATTGTACTAACGGTAGTATTTATCTCAAAAAAATCAAAGATAAATTTGATGGGTAGGCTTAGGTTTTATATAGAGTGAAAGATGGATGAGATTGAGGTTTTGAAAAATACAAGAAATCAAGAACATGGAAGATGAAAAGCAAAAAACTTATCTGCAGGGCTTCAAATGATTTGTGAAAGCTTCGATGGTGGTCGACGATAGAAAGAGCGTAGTAAAGAGAGGCAAGAAAAGGCATAAAACAAGTTGTCGAAGAAGTTTTTTTATTTTTGATATGTTAAAAAGTTACCATTATAATTTTGGTATATAGTTTGAGTCTGTTTTAATATGGGTCATAATAAGTTTCATCTTGATTTAGTATAGGTTTGAGTACAAGGTTGAGAAGTTTTTTTTGGCCATTTTGACTTAAATTTAAATTTGAGTCAATGTTTGAGATGCTCTTATATCATTTATATCAATTAAGTTTCTGAACTATGTTTTGTGTCAATTTAATTTTAAATTATACTATTTGTATTAATGTGGTCATTTCGTCCAAATTTACAGTTAACTTAGACAGAATTTATCTCACACGCATAGCTTGGGTCAAGGATTAGGTATAGTTTAAAATTCATATGTTGTATACATGAAGAATTTTGTCAGCCTTTTGACAAAAAGGTCATATTAACATAAAATTTATAATTTAGAGATTAGGTTGATACAAACGTAATTTAATGATTTGATTAACAAAAAATAATATAGTTCAAATACCATATATATATATAGTTAACTCTAACTTATAATAAAACCAAGGACCTAGGGCTCATAATGATGGATGATGTGTTAATAAAAAATTAAAACCAAAGTGTAGTGAAGAAGATCCGAATCCTGTAGAACCCCGCCCAAAAATGGCACTCGGCTCATTTTAATTTTTTTTTTTTTGGTTTTCGGTACACTGGGATGCTTAGTGAGGAAGTTCTAATGAGTGTGCTAACAGAAGTGGAGTAGGTGCCTGGGGAGGAGGCCTACTTAACTAAACCGGGCCTTCCTTGCAATTGACTCCAAGATTAGCCAAGATAGCCAAGAGTTCTTTTTAATTTTTTTTCGGATCAATCACAAATTAATTTAGGCTTAATCGTAAATTATCTCAAATATTTATAATAATTATAAAAATATCCACAAAAATTATATATTAACGATATGATACCAAATATTTTTTCGGTACCATAAACTTTTTCCTTTATAACTATTTAAATTTAAACTGGATAATTCTTTTGGTCATGGTTATCCACTATTAACTATACTACAACGTACTGTAGCACTTGGCGTCACTGTCGCACACAGCGGTATTAAATCAAAGAAGCAGTCAAGGCACAAATAAAGTGTATTAACGTAGTCCTCAATCACGCATAACAACCTCTCTCAAATCCCAACTCCGACTACCCACTTCCTGTAACTTCTCAAAAACACCGCCAAGTTCCCTCTGATTGTTCGGTGCTCGAATTTGGCTGTTTCGTTCTTCCTGATTCTCCCGTTAAAACTCCAAGGTTATCTCTCTCTCGCTATCTCTCACTACTTTGAATTTCACTGTTTCTTGATAGTTTCTTGTGTTTTATTCAACCGTACGGTTCTGTATAGTAATATCTCGAGCTTTTCGCGTTTCTAGGGTTTCTCTTTGTCGTTTAATTTATTTTTCTTGCCTCGAATCTAGGGTTTCTTGTGCATCTTTTGATGATTTTTAACACCTCTTTTTACAACCATACACTCATACCTTACGTACATACTTTAGACGAATTTATGCACACACACATCTGTGTTTGAGTTATTCGTGTATTGGGGTTTTTGTTGGTCTTGATTGCAGACATTGAAGAATGAGGCTTGGTGCTGGGAAAGAGGGGCCATCATGCAGCACTGAACAAGTGAGAAAAATGAATTGATTTAGAGTTGTGAACTGTTTAACATTTATATAATTTATGCAATTGGAGGAGTTGTTAGGAGGAAGATTTTGGAAATGTATTGATTGGTTTTTAACTTATTTTCTAATTATGGAAAGAGAACTAAGTTCAGCGAGTTCATTGGAAACTGCCGCTGCTTCTCTAGCGTACTGGCTGTTTAATTAATTGCCCCTATTATATATATAATTTGNACTTATTTTCTAATTATGGAAAGAGAACTAAGTTCAGCGAGTTCATTGGAAACTGCCACTGCTTCTCTAGCGTACTGGCTGTTTAATTAATTGCCCCTATTATATATATAATTTGTATGAACGCTGAAGCTGTTATCTGACTGGGCAATTGCATATTTAGTGGTACTGGTCTAAAAGAGTTGTCCGTTGAAATAAGCTCCCCCCTATCTCTCTCTTTCTCTCTCGGTATTTATCTGTGTTCTCCATTTTTTGGTGGATAGGTGATTGACTTAATTTCATGGGTGAAAGGATTACATGTGCTTAGCTCGCAAGAGCTTAGTAAGCTACTCAGGGATTCTGAAAACAATATCCTTCAGCAAATTATGGAAAATGGATCCTGTATACAGGTTGGTATAAGGAGAATGCAACTAGGAATTTTTACAAGTTAGACATTGATTATTTTTATGTCAATTTTTCTCTGATTTGCTGGTTCTTTTCCGCAATGTGATGTAGTCTTAATCTTTCAGATTGATGTGGAAAAACTTGCAAGATATATTCCTTTGCACCTTATTGCAATAATTATGTCATCTGACCAAGATGAAGCATCGTTCAAATACTTGTTATGTGGATTTCGGTTGTTGCATACCTTGTGTGATCTAACATCTCGGCACCCTAAACTTGAGCAGGTAAGCTCAAATTTTATGTTCTTTGTTATAAGGGTGACTGGATGTAAAACTTTCCTTACTCACTTGTAGTGTAATTTCAATAGAGTTCTATGCAGAATTATTACAATATGTACAGTGCCTTATCTATTTTTACAAGAAGTGTTACAGATATTTCTTGATGATGTCAAAGTATCAGAACAGCTGCTTGATCTTATCTTTTATTTGCTCATTATCCTTGGTGGTTATAGACAGGTTTGTTTTTTTCCCTTCTTCTTAAACCCTCTCTCCTATATTATGTCTGTATTGAAAATTGTATACTATTATACAGGAACACCAAAGTCCAAGTCATGTAGCCCTTTTACATTCAACTCTTGTGGCATGCAGTCTATATCTATTGACAGGATTTATTTCTTCACAATGGCCAGAGCTTGCTCAAGTGTTGGTTGCACACCCTAAGGTAAATTTTCTAACTGTGGGTTTTGTAAGCCACAGAGTATTGTTTGTCACAAACATAGTTTTAAAAATCGGCCTGGACATCAACCCCGGGAAAGAGACTGGGTTAATGGGTCACTGGTCGGATCGGTAATATAATAAAAAAATAAAAAATAATTATTATTAATAATAAAGCCAAAAAATACAATAATAATGAAAATACATGCTTAATATATATTAAATGAAACAAAACCCACCCAAAATCATCAACAAGCAGCCATGAAACAAAATAATATAATCAAACAATCTACTCAACTAATCAACAAACTACTATTATAGACTTTACACTATGTCAGTAATGCTAAAAAAAAAAAAAAGTATGACAGTATAAACAATTCAATATTCAAGCAACTAAGCAAGTGAAAATAGAGAGACTGAAAGAGAGAGGGAGAGACGATGTACCCATAGTGAGTGTGCTGTGTCTCATACTCTCATNATTCAATATTCAAGCAACTAAGCAAGTGAAAATAGAGAGACTGAAAGAGAGAGGGAGGGAGAGGGAGAGACGATGTACCCATAGTGAGTGTGCTGTGTCTCATACTCTCATTCGAGGCAAGGAAATAGGCAGAGAATAAGGAGTGAAGCCCTAAAACAAATCGTTGAAGAAGCTCCGACAAGTGAGTCCTTATTGGCCTTTGCTTCCTTCGATTACTCGCAGCGCGCACATAGAGAGAGAGAGAGAGAGAGGCTGAGGCTAATCTGAGTTGTTTAGGAGAATCAAAGACTTGGAGCAGAGGGCAAGCCACAAGATTTAGGGCATAAATGCTAAAAAGCCCCAAAACCCAGATATTTATTTGGTTTGAATTAATCCGGCCAGTTTATTGAAAATCACCCGGTTGAACGGTTTTGACAGGAACTGGGCGGTTTATTGGATTTCTTCCGGTTTTGGTACTTAAACGATCTGATCTACGAACCAGCCCAGTTTAGGCTCCGGGTCACCTCGCCGGGCCGGGCCGGTTTTTAAAACATTGGTCACAAATATAAGTGGTCTGATCTCACAATATAAGTATTGGTATATTTGTGGGCCCTTACTTCAGTCTTCAGTTGCCCCAGCTTCATTCTTTTTAATAAGTTGAGCCATATTTTCTTCCAGAATACATTAATGGAGATTAATTGTTTGCATGGTTGATCATTGAACTTCTGTGGCAGGTTGATGTATTCATGGATGCAGCCTTTAATGCTGTTCGCATTGATATCAATTTTCTCCAGATCAAGCTGTCAGCTCAAAATACCGACTTCTATGTGAATTCCAAGGCTACTGTTGAAGAAACGTTAAACCATCTCTGCCAGCAGTGCGAGGCTTCTTTACAGTTCCTCCAGTCATTATGTCAACAAAAGTTGTTTCGAGAGCGCCTTGTTAAGAATAAGGTTTTTAGTTAAGAGCTATGTTTCACTAGATGTTTGCAATGGGAAGAATCATCCCAGAAACTCTAGGGTAGAACCAAAGTGTAGGCAGAGTTACCCTGTGTAGAGTTAGCAATCGTCTAATTTGGCATTTAAGTAGTGCATGCGCTGTTGATTTGAACTTCCTCGATATTTGCAGTGCCACTGGTTCGATGACCTGAGAAAAATTAATAGGCTTTTATTTGAATCTGGCTGAAAACACTACAATTAGCAGTTGGGGCTTACATAGCAACGTTTAGGATACGTCAAAATATGTGTAAAGGATTATAGAATCACTCATGATCTACTACTCTTTTTTGGCATTTATAGAATCACTCATGATCTGAGCAAACATTACACGTGATTTTTTCAGAGTGTATATGTATATGGATTTCTGACTTCTTATTTGTCATTTCTACTTTGCTGAGCAATTGAATTATCCACTATCATTAGCTCCTTTCNACACGTGATTTTTTCAGAGTGTATATGTATATGGATTTCTGACTTCTTATTTGTCATATCTACTTTGCTGAGCAATTGAAGTATCCACTATCATTAGCTCCTTTTTCTATATTCTAAAATTTGTACCTCCAATCCCACTCAATTGAGTTTTCTCAGTGTTGTCTCTAATGAGAGCATAATTTTGTCACTCTTACAGGAATTATGTGGAAAAGGAGGCGTTCTTTTTCTGGGTCAAGCAATTATGAACTTAAATGCAACACAATTTTCAATAGATTCCTCAGTTGTGGCTGCTGTATATAGGATGAAATCCAAAGCTTTATCTATTGTAAGTCCAAGTGATGAACATAGTATTTGGTAAACATTTTGCGGAAGGTTTAAGCTGCCTGAGAATGCACTGCAGCATTTTACTGTTTTATACTCTTTGTGCATGAATTTCATTCATCAAATCAGCCACAACTCCTGTTTCTGCAGCTGTTGCATCTCTGTGAAGCAGAAAGTGTATCTTACTTGGACGAGGTTGCTAGCACCCCAGGAAGCCTGGATCTAGCAAAGTCTGTTGCTTCAGAGGTTTGTTTTGATTTATAGAGATGGCCATTCTTTCCCTAGATCATGTGTAATGTTAGTTTGAGTAGTTGGCAGACATTTTGCAAAAGAAGATCAATTTGAGACCATTTTTTAAATGGTGTCATGTAGAATATATACTGTGCCAATAGTGCCATAAAGAAATGATAATCTACTTGGATTGAAATGGCAAAATTTCCATCTTTTCTCATGCTCTATTATGAAGAATACTGAATTTTCTTTAATATTATTAATATTGCAATTATTAGGTGGTGGGTATTTAGGTTAATGGTTCAGAAATTATAAAATTTGTGAGGGATACGGATGCCATGACTAGATTGTATCGCACAAAACTTTATTGTGTGAAACATTATACATATTGTTTCTCCTAGAATTTTGGCAACTATGGCGATGGCAAGTAGTCAGCATTGCTTCTTCATGATTAACCTATTTGCCAAGAGTTTTTCTTCTATTAATGAAGCCTAATTGACTGCCAAACTCATTGATATGGATACAATTATCACGATGTAGGCGCTTGAATTGCTGAAGGCAATGTTTGGTGGAGATCCCAAAGAATTGAGTGCTTCCTGTGTGAAAACCTACCCAACGGGTCTTTTGCAACTCAATGCAATGCGTCTGGCGGATATCTTCTCTGATGATTCTAATTTTCGATCATACATCACACTGTATTTTGTAAGCTTTCTTACAATACCTGTAGCTTATCAGGAGCCTGAGCATTCAATATGCTTGCTTCAATTACATTATTCTGCCTTTTGATATATTACTGTATTTCTTTTGATAAAATCTTTTAATTCGGGTAACAGATACCAAATGTCTAATGACATGTGGCTTTTTTCATTTATCAAAATACATACGACTAGTGTGGGGTTTACGTGCTATATTGATGCCTATCATCTATGCTGTACAAAGCATTGGCCATGATGAGATTTTTGACCAAGTCATTGTATATGTTCCTTCAGACAGAAGTTTTGGCTGCAATCTTTTCACTTCCACATGGAGAGTTCTTGTCTAGTTGGTGTTCCTCTAACCCTCCGGCTTGTGAAGAAGATGCTACTCTGGAGTATGATCCAGTGGCAGCAGCTCGATGGATTTTGGATTTTGGACTTTCATCATCGGATTTTTCAAATGTGATGAATTCAGAGATTGCTTTCATTCCCTCTAACATGCCGCGGGCTTCCTATGCTCATCAGAGAACATCATTGTTGGTCAAAGTAATAGCAAACCTCCATTGTTTTGTCCCTGACATCTGCAAAGGTGAATGCTTAACCAAGATTTTTTTGTAAGGTGTCACAATTTTTGATCAGTAGTGTCTCTGCATTGTCCTGATTGTTTATCAAGCTCTTTTGATCAATGCCCAGAGGAGAAGGATCTCTTCCTTAATAAGTTTCTCCGGTGCATGCAAAAGGAACAACCTAAATTATCAGATGGGGTTGCATTCATTTGCGATGCTGAAAAAGCCGCCGTTGTTGTCAGGAATCTGCGTAATTATTTGCCTCTGATGATTTCTTCATTTTATAAAATGCCATGTGCTTTTGCTTTCCTAATGACTGACTCGTATGTGTAGGTTCCTTGTTGAGTCATGCAGAATCTTTAATTCCTGGCTTTCTAAATGAGGACGATTTGAATCTCCTTAGGTGATTTGTCTCTGCACTGTGCATTTGGCAACTTATTTATTTTTTTATCTTATACTCGGGAAGTGTTAGTGTTTGGTTGCTTGACAATAGGATGACACTTAATGAAATACCTGTTCAATTATTGGTTATGAACTGCCTGTTAAGAGGAGTTAATGACTTATATCTTACAACCTAACCCATCTTTCAGCTTGAGTGGTATCTAGCCACCCAAAAGCTGAGGTGCGGGTCCTGATTTATAAAAGTAATTTGGGATGTGGCGGTTTTGTTTTACCATTTGCCAACCTCCCCCCCCCC